TCACCTGACCGAACACATACATGACAATGATGCATGACAGATGCAATAATCACAAGAGGAGTGACTTGAGTACCAAGTGGAATAGACAGACATAGTGATCTGTGGAGCGCTCTGTCCACTGAGAAAAAGAGCGATTGGTTTTCGTGACAATGACAGTCTAAGACAATGGTGTAATTAAACCACCGGAGCTCCCAAACTTTTCACTTTAAGTTTTAAAAAAGTTTTTAAAATATCTATGTTAACTTTCCGGACTTTTCCGGACTTTTGAATCATTGACCACAAAAAACTATATACACAAACTTTCAAAAGCAACTTTTGCAACTTGCAAACAGCCACCCAGTTTACTACATTGTGAAGGGCAACAGGTTCTTGAATCCCGAGAAGCGCGCCCTGCTACACGTGTGGAATGTTTATGATCAATGTGAGCAGGTGTTGGTTTTCCAGCCCCACCCTCAAGTTGCCAAATGGCTGGGCTCCGGGGGCCGCCAGAATCTTGCATAGTTTCGATCTAAGTTGCCAAATGGCTGGGCTCCGGGGGCCTATATATAGAATCTTGTGTTGGCTGGGCTCCGGGGGCCTATAGAATCTTTTGTAATTTCCAAATCTAAGTATACAGTCACTTTTCAGGCGGAAAAAAAGGCAATGTCAGAGCGCGCGGGTTGACGCTTGTTGTGCGCACGTTTTGTCTGTGAGCCTTTTGTTTCACGCCGTTTATGCCAAACATCAATAGGCGGCTTTGCGGGCCGCCTTTCAAGCTGGTATGTGCATGTTGGTTGTGAGCCATTTGTTTCATGCCTGAAGCATAAACGCGGCCTAGGCGGCTTTGCGGGCTGCTTTCTAAGCTGGGGTGTGTGATGCATGTTGGTTGTGAGCCTTTTGCCCCACTCGAACGCAAAGGTTCGCGGGCGGCTTTGCGGGCCGCCTTTTCATCCAATTTGGGCGCCATGGCGGAGGGATTGGAAACCCAAATAAAGGCATTGATTGCCTTTCTCCAGGTTTCAGCGGCAGAGCCTCACTTGGTCCAGGCCCACATTCGCGCAATTCGAGACAAGATCACCGCCTTGCCCAGGATGAGCCTCGAGCAGGCCACGACTTTGGGAAGTGCCTTGAAAGGAGCTATACCATTGATTTCGGCCGATGACATGAAAGAGATTTGGGACGCCTTGCGTTCAAAGGTGCAAGAAGCACCCTTGGACCCGAGAGCTAAGCGACCTCTTCAAGAATGGTTGAATTGGGCCTTGTTCTTGACGGAGGAGTTGTGGCGTGACATCCTGACGCTGCCAAACACTTCGGTGGTTTTGAGAAAAGTGGTCCAACACTTGCACAAGCTGGGTCTGAGGTGCCCGTCTGAAACTGTCATGGGGACCCTTACAGCAATGTTGGTGCTGAGGACCGAGCAGGGCAAAAGCCAAGTACAGACGGCAAGTCAATGGTTCGACTTGCACAAAACAGTGAAGAGCCAGGTCAAAGCAGTGTTGGAATTGTCAAAGGCGTCGGACGACACTGTGATCGGCCCATACCTCAGGTCTCTTCCAGATGCTTTTGAACGCCTTGACCCAACACTCCAGACACATGTTTTTGGTGATGAAAGGCCTGCAGAGCCAAAGACTCTTGTTCTGTGCGTAGTAATTACATGATCTTTTCAGTTTTTTGACGTAGTAATTACACATCTTTTCAATTTGTTGAACGCAAGAATGAAAGGAAAGATTTGGAAGACAAATCAGACGCTGCTAACTAGGAAAGGGAAAACAATAGCGTCTCTTTCTCTGAACGTGCATTTGATGATGTTCATCTCTGCGCGCAGCCAACTTTGAGGCTGAAAGTGGAGGAGCTCATCTACCTGGCGAGGTCTATGCCTTTAAGGAAATCGAATAAGAACGTCGCAGAGCCGCCAAAGATGGAACGTGGAATAGCTTCGTTGCTGCATTCACACTTGAGCTGCGTGGCACAAGCTTTGCTGCAGCGGCCCCATGTGGAGAACCTCTTTCAGGGAAGTTTGGACAAGTGGGCTCATGATCAACAAGGGCTGGCCAGGTCTGGTCAAGCCGCTCACCGTGCGTCACCCCTGGCATTGACTATGCCCGTGGCAAGCCCAGCGCAGCTTGCCTTGCCCGGCCCAGAAGTTGCCTTGCCCGCTGCTGTGGCTGAAACACAGGCTGGCCTGAAAGTGGGCATTGATTGATGGGAGTCAGGCGGCAGCCGAAAGTGTGGCTACCAAGCCTGGACCATCGCAAAGGAGAAAGCTTGGCTACCAAGCCTGGACCATCAGGAGGAGGCTTGGCTACCAAACCTGAACCATCAGGAGAAAGCATGGCTACTAAGCCTGAACCATCAGGAGAAAGCATGGCTACTAAGCCTGAACCATCAGGAGGAAGCTTTGCGAGCAAGCCTCAACCATCACAAGAAAGTTCGGCCACGAAGTCTCATCCACAGCCAGACACACAGGCCATGGAGAGGCAAGTTGCAAAGAAAAGTGTGAAAGAGGCCCTCCAAGCCCTGGACAATGCTATGGATGAGCGGGAGGGTGCCAAAAAAGTGGGACAGTGTGGATTGCCCATGAAGAGGCCAGCAGCGCATGATGCACCAGCGTCAAAGAGCAACAAGGCCAAGGCCGATGCGCCAGCGTCAAAGAGCAAGAAGGCCAAGGCCAAAGCTGCCGCTAAGGGTGCGGGCACCAAGGGAAACAAAGCCAAACCAGTGGGCAAAAACAGCTTCAAGGAAGCTTGGCCGTCCAAGAAAAAGATGTTATCCTTGCGGCCAGAAGGGTGCTCCAAATGCCGCTGGGTTGCAGGTTGCACCAAGTCATGCTGGGTTCAGCGTCGCTTTGGACCGCCTCCAGCAGAGTAGGCTGCAAATGCTTGCTGCGGCTTTGAAGGCCGCGTGTGGGTCCTTTTTTTGTGCTGAGCGGCTTTGCGGGCCGCTTCTTGTTTGCGGCTCAGCGGGCCGCTTTGGTTCAGACGCCGGATTTCCGTGGGGTTGGAAAATCGCCTTTACGGTTCTTGGGGGTTGGGGCATCAGGTGGCAGTTTGCTGCGAGGTTCCTTTTTGCGCCTGTCTTCGAAATGTTTGATCGATCTATGGTGCATTGCGTGAAAGGGTGATGTTTGCTAATTTCCCAAAGGGTTTATATAAGCCACCCCCTTTAAAAAAACGCAATATAAATATATTATATATATGTATAGACTTTGTTCTGACATTGCAGTTGGGCATCCGTGTTGGGACCATGAAGTGGGCTCATTTTGCTTGAGTCGGCTCAAGAAGCACTGGTTCAAAGGATCCAAACATAAGAGTTCGTACTGTAGAGCAGACTATACTAAATAACATTACTCGACTTACTTTTTATAAGCAGCCTGTTCGTTCGAGACGCCTTCATCATCTTCCCTTGGCGCGCATGGTGGCAAGACTTCCAAGAAGAGGAAACGCAAGAGAGAGTCATCGAACAGGCGGCGACGGCGCAGACCGCAGCGGATGTCTCCCTCACCACCTACAGACAATGAAACATGCTTCGCCTGGCGCCGGAAAGATGTGGAGCAGGAACTGAAAAACACTTCGGGCAATGAGCTGGACGAGAGGACGATTGGGTTGGATGACAGCTGCACCAGCCAGGGTGGCGATGTCAATGCACCCATGGTGAAGGTTGAATGTGAGATTCCATTGCATCTGGAGGCTCCACCGTCTCCACCATTACCACAATTCAAAACTAGTATCTGCGTGTCCAGATATCAGAAGCAAAAAGTCAAGGACGAGGTTGGCCCAGTTGACCCTATTGTTGGTCACAACAAGATAAAGCAAGAAGACGATGACAAGCAAGAAGACGGTGACACGAGTAGGACACAGTCTTCTGGAGGCGGCGATGGTACACATGTAGAGATTGCCGAAAAAGGTGAGCCAGCGTGTGACAATGCCGAGAACGTGGAGAAGGACAAGAATAGCGATCCACCATCTCCTGATAGACCGCCTGGCGTTTGGCTTGCTGCAAAGCCCGAAGCATCTGTGAGCACGGCCACGAAAGCTGGGGATCACGCAAAACAGTCCAGCGGTTCTGAGGACCGCATTGGGTACCGTGCTCGCACTTGTAAAGATGGAGTCGAGCGTTGGTTTTTAGAATACCCTGGCCCACCCATAAGCAAAAGGCAATGGGAGCGAGAAGTCTTAAGGAAGAATAGAAGCCGGAGAGGCAAACAAGCTCCTTGAGTCTGTTGCGCTGCGAGAAGAAACCTCATGAGGCTTGCGTGTGCTGCCTTGTGTTCGAGCCTTCGCGCGCACTGCTTTTCGACCGGGTTTGGTTTGTGTTTGGAGGAGTTATGTTCAGGACAAACCTTGAGGTGATCTTGGGCAGTTGTT